ACCATCTCACAAGTCAAAGAGAGGCTGGGCTCCGATCTACATCTTCGGGAAAAGCCTCCCCTGGCCCAATGTAATGACCAGATCAAGAGTGTTTAAAGTGTTGAACTACAAACACTGAAGGAAAAGGAACAAATATTTATTAAGCCCTACTATGTGCCAAGTACCCTGCTAAGTAGTTTATAAACATGATCTCATTGATCCTTACAACAACCCTAGGAGCTAAATGCTACTTTAGAAGGTGATTGTAAGGAAAGAGTGTCACACAAATAGCACAAAGGGTGCGTTTGGTTTGGCTTTTATTGGGTATGAGTGTGACACCATGCATATGTGCTCATCCCAGGTTTAGCTTGAGGGTGAGACTGAACAGCATCAAATAAAGCTTGAGGTGGATAAATAATAATGATATCTAGCATTTAGATAGCACTTTCATGTTTGCAACATGTTTTATATATATTATGAATAGGATAATTTTACCAGGCCACAAAGAGAAGCCAAAGTTGCCTGATGCTTATGTGGCTTGCTTGATTCACCAAGGATAATGCCCTGAACAGAACAAACGGTAAACAGGGCCAATGGATCATATAGCTGGAAAAGGAAGGAAAATCCAAGGACATCTAGTAGAAACTCCTTATTTTATGGTTGAGGAAACTGAGGCCCATTTAGTTAGGTGACTCCCCCAAGGTCATACAGGCAGTAATAGTAGTTTTGAGATTCAAACTCAGATCCTGTTAACTCCAATTGTAGCAATCTTTTCCCCACATTATTCTATATCCTGAGAAGGAGTAGGTCCCCAAGATCAGCTCTCTTTGATACGTTTCAGTCTCCAAGCTCAGAAGGGCTTTATACCAACTGAAGGTATCCTAAAGTGGAAAGGGCAGCCTCACAAAATAATGAAATTCCCTAGTGTGGATGATGACTTGTTGGCAATGGGAGAGAAGAGATATTTTTATGAAGGCTGGACTCAACTCACTGCCTCTGTGAGCCCTTATTTCTCTAAGATCCTGCCTGTGATTCTGTGGACAGGAAGGCACTCCAGAAATGAGAGCATTGATTACTTGTCTTATCAGCACCAAGGTGTTGATTGTCTCTGTAGAGAATCCAAGAAGCTCTGAGTATATGGAGAAGGGCAGGGAGGTCCAATATAGAATCCAGGATGCAGAGCAGGAAGGGAGGCCAGATTGGGGAAGGTGGGGTAGGGCTGGATACTCTGGGAACAGTGAAGCTCTGGGACTGGTGAAGGCACAAACTACAAGCAAGCCAAGAAGTTCAAACATGCAGTCTTCCTTGCGTCACAATCTTACTTAGGAAATCAAAAACTGATTGCACAGTGATGTGTATTTCTCAAATGCCCAAAGCAGAGGGGCTTTCCCAAGTCATCTCAATAGCTTTGGTTTTGCCAAATTATTCAGAAAAGGGGAATTAAATTAGAAGATTATTTGACTCATCAGCCTATCACTTAATGTTGTTGATATCAAATTTAGAGCTTAGTAGATAGAAATCTGAAATTTTGGCTCTAGGGTGGAGCATTTATGGAGGAGGCAGTAAACTTAGTAGCCTCACATATTAGGTCAGCAGGGCAGAAAGGGTTAAAAGAAAACACTTTAAACAGTTAGGATGCCTCCTATCCCACACTTCTATTGACTGAAATCTCCTCTCCACCTCTTCCTTTCACCTCCAATTAGGCAGGACCAGCTTCATTCCTCACAGCTCTGTTAATTAGTTTTCAGTGCCAAATTATCATTGAATATGTTAAACAAGTCGGAGACATTGGTGCTCCAAGATGCAGCCATGCTACATGGGAGGGGCCGAGAGTGGGTGGAGGCATGAGAAATGAGGTTGTCCAGTTCCCTCTTTTGTGAGAAACCATTGAACATGTTCTTGTCAAATGGCCAAGTTCTAATGGTCCTCACCTTCTAAAGTTGGTATTCTCTATTATCAGCATTGTGGCAAAATACACCTATTATTGAGAAATCACAGAAAGTGACCTCCCTGCCAAAGAAAGGAAGAGTCTTTATATGAAAACTACCTGAAGGACTGAATCACTCTAGGATGGTTGTTTTAAATTCTACTTTTCAATTACCAAACATACACACACACACACGCACGCACGCACACACACTTTATCTCCCTCCCAACCCTTTCCCAACCTAGAAGAAAAGAAAAACTCTTGTAAAAAAAAAAGCATGAGCATGCATTCCCACATTATCCATGTTCAAGAAATTGATGTCTCCTGCATGTTGAGTCTGCCATCTTTCTGTCAGGTGCTGGATGATGTGAGTCACCATCCATCTTCTGGAATTGTCCTTATTCACTCAGTATATCCATGTTGGGTTTTTTGTTTGTTTTTCAAGGTTTTCTGTCTTTACAAAGTTGTGATTATTGTGGAAATTGCTCTCCTTGTTCTGCTCACTTCACTCTTCATCAGGATTCAAGTCTTCCTAGATTTCTCTGAAGCCATTCTCTTCATTGTTTCTTTTAGCACAATTATTCTATTATATTCATGCCATACTTTGTTCATCCATTCCCCAATTGATAGGCATCTTCTTGATTTCCATTTTTTTGCCACCATAAAAGAGATAATATATTTTTGTACAAATAAGCATTTCTTCTTCTTTGATCTCTATAAGAGCATATGCCTCTTGGAGGTATTGCTGGGCCTGGGGTCTGCATTGTTTACTAGCTTTTGGGGCACAATTCCAAATTGTTCTTCAGAATGAGCCAATGTGAGATACGAATGGTGTGAATGGGCTATCTCTGTGTTTGAAATGGACCTGCATAAAGTCTGGATGGAGAAGCAGTAGAATCAGATGTAGAGCTGGGAAAGACTTGAAATCATCTATTCTAAACTCACCATTTTCTAGATGAGGAAACTGAGGCAGAGAGAAATTAGGTGTTATACCTTTGGTTTTGCAAGTAGTGAGTAGCAGAAGAAGAAGTCAAACCCAGGTGCTATGACTCCAAATATTCTCCACTATTCATCACGGCTTGATTTGTAAAGAAAACTATGAATTTTAGGAGGCCCCAGAAATAGGAAAAATGGATGAAAAACCTTGGGATAAATTTAAAACAGTACAGATTGAATCTAGGAACAAGATTTCAAAAAAATGAGGCATAGAGGAATCTTTTCTGACCAAAGAAGCCAAAGAAAATTTAAAAGAAAGCCTGTTCCCTCTACTTTATGGGGAAGATTAGAATTAACAATTACAACTGCAGTAATTTGGGATCCTTCTTTGATATTTCCCTCTCAGGTTCTTTGTAACAATTATCAATAGAAAGAAAATGAAATATATTTTACTGATTAAAAAAAAAATACAGGGGAGTGGAATTCCCAACATTTAAACTCTCCCTTCTCCACACAACTGCCAAATTGATATTTTTAGAACCAAGGTATGACTGTCTCGCTCCCCATCCCAAGAAGTTTTAATGGCTCTCAATTACATTGATGATAAAATATCAACTTCTCTGATTAACATTTAAAATCCTTCCCAGTCTGATCAGAACACTAATGCATTGTTGGTGGAGTTATGATCCAACCATTCTGGAGAGCAATTTGAAACTATGCACAAAGAACTATAAAACTGTGCATACCCTCTGACCCAGCAATACCACTTCTAGGGCTGTATCCCAAAGAGACCCTAAAAATGAGAGTACCAACAAGTACGAAAATATTTATAGGAGCTCTTTTGTGGCAGCAAAGTATTGGAAATTGAGGGGATGCCCATCAATTGAGGAATGGCTGAACAAGTTGTGTCATATGAATGTAATGGAATAATATTGTGCTATAAGAAATGATGAGCAGGCAGACTTCAGAAAAACCTGGAAAGACATAGATGAACTGATGCAGGGTGAAATGAGAAAAACCAGAACATTTTATGCAATAACAGCCACATTGTGTGACGACAGACTATGGTAAACTTCTCAGCAATTCAAGACAACTCCAGAAGACTCAGGATGCAAAATGCTATCCACATCCAGAGAAAGAACTTTGGAATCTGAATGCAGATTGAATCCTACTATTTACTCTTTTTTTCTTTGTTTTGTTTTCTTTCTTCTTTCTCATGGTTCCTCCTATTAGTTCTAATTCTTATTTACATAATAACTAATGTGAAAATATGTTTAATATGAATGTATAAGTAGAGCCTATGTCAGATTGCATGATATCTTGGGGAGAGGGAGAAAATTTAAAACTTAAAATCTTATGGAAGTGAATATTGAAAATTAAAAAGAAACTAATTATCAAACAATACAATAAAATCCTTGCCAGTCTGGCCTCAGCTTCTATCTTTCCAGAAAGATCTACACAATGCCCCACACACATTCTGGGTCCTAGCCACACTGGCCTATGTGCCATTCCTCCCACATGCTGATCAGTCTCCTGCCTTTGCTTTCACCTCTTCTGCGGGGATATTCTCCATCATTACCTCCACCTCTTGGAAACCTTAGCTTCCTTCAAGAATCAGTTCCAATGCTGCTTTCAAAAAAAAGGAAAGAAAAGAAAAGGCCTTTTTACCTCAGTTACAAGTACCTCACACCCCAAAACTTGTGCTCTATTATTTAGTCTTGATTTCTTGGCATGGCACCTCCATGGGGCTCACTCTTCTGACTCCAGGCTCCACTGGCAGGTAGGGTTTCTAGACTGGCTGACTATTACTACTGCTCTATTCAGGATTCTAGGAACAGTTCTTAGGGGCTGGGGGGGAGGGGGAGGAGAAGGGCACCTAACCCTGTCACCCTCAAGCCCCTACTATTCGTTTTCCACAAACTGTCAGCCAGACATGCCTACTTTCATAAGGGGAATTCACAGAAACTGCTCTTAGAAGGAAGGGTAGCTGTTTAAAATGGGCAGCTGAACAAGCAGATAGGGACGTCCTCTTTTCTTATATGGGGGGAGGGTGAGGTCCTGCGGGAGAAAGAAAATAAAATGCTAAGCACAGTAAAAGTTTATACACACAGTAAAAGACAGAAATGTTCATTCTCATAATTATTATTAAACTCCACCTTGTAGTAAAATGGGAATAAGATACAATACGGAGAAGCCCAGTGTCAAGGTCTGACACTAAGCCATCGATTACTGGAAGGCCTTCTCTGTCTCAGTGGGATTGTGAGGAAGTCCCTTTCTCTTGCACCTGGCCAGGGAGGACTGGAACTTTCCCCACCGTGGTCAGTTTCTCCTCGGCACATGTCTCAGTTCTGATTACGTCACTGCTGCTCTGGGGCAGGTGCTTCCTACTCCAGTGGACACTACTACTGGCACCAGCGAGAATCAATGCCACATCCTAGATCTGGGAAGGGCACAAGATCATCACCTGGTCAACAGGTCTGTAGCACCCACTATACACAATGTACTTTTCAATTATTATCAAATTTGGTCCTTCTCACAATCTTCAGAGGTAGCTGCTATTATTATTATCTACATTTTACAGTTGAGGAAAATGAGGCAAACAGGTTGACTTACCCAGGGTCACACAGCTAGTTTTTTGAGGTCAGATTTAAACTCAGGTCTACCCTACCTCCAGGCTCAGTGCTCAATCCACTGTGCTACGTAGCCAGTTGCCTCTAAGAGAAGGGAGAGAGAAAATTCTCTTCTCCCCTCCCCCACTCACCAAGGTCAATTCCCTTTCAAGAGGTTTTCTGTTTGGTTGGGTTTTTTTTTTTCTTTTTAGATTCCATCACCATTCTGGTGACTAGTTCCAAATTCATTGGCTTGTTTTGTAACTACAGCCACACAGGATGTAACCAATACTATCCAGACAATCACAAGATATTTCTTATGTGATGCCATCTGATTTTCTCCAATGACCCAAATCTCCCATGAGCTCTACAATTCTCTTTAAGTATTTGCATCTGTGTTACTTTGGATTGACTGATTGATTGATAGAGATGTAAGAAGCCTGCACCTTCTGAGATTCATTGGGAGGCAGGACACCCTTACACTGGGATACAGCAGAGGATAAGCTCCTTGAGAGCATGGCTGGTTTGGTTCCTGTCTTTGCATCCCCAGAGCCTAGTCCTGTGGTCCACAATCATAGATACTCCAGAAATGCTTACGCAGCTGAACCAAATGGAAGATTGCTGTGTGATTCCAAGCAGTAGAGAAGAAATGGGCAAGGTCATGACCCCTCCCACAGGAAAAAAAAGCTGATTGCACAGGAGCTCAGGTAAGCCTAAATCATGGTGACAATGTCCATAACAGAAGCCAGCTAGCAAAAGCCATGCCTACTCATGATGGACAGGGAAGCATGAGGAGGTGGGAGGTAGGCCGAGAGCACCTAGAGACTTAGAAAAGTCAAACCTTTAAAGTTAAACTTTGATCATAACCCAACAATCATAATTAAAGGGGTAAAGGTACCTCTAAAACTTCAAAAAGATCTATGTTTGAGGTGCTTTTAAAAAAAATTTAAGCTACACATTTGTCATGGAATAATTCGATGTCAGTCCTTCTACAAATGGAAAATCCCTCCAGGCTTAGAGCAGAGTTAATGTGTAGGGGGACAGAGCCTCTGTGACGTGGGCTGTCAGGAAGATTGACTGCAGGAGAGATTTTACCAAGAGTTAATGTAATAAGGACCCCCTGGGCAGCTTGGAAGTGATTGTAGCCAATTGTATGGGGTTGAGCACTGCTGAGCAAATCCCCTAATACCTCTGAAAATTCTTGTTGCAGGGCACCAGGCACACTTCTTAGACTAAGAGATTCAAAAGGAAATAAGCCATTCTCTTCACGGCTGGCCTCCCATTTCCCTCTCAGCTTCTTCCTTGGAAAGTCTTTGCTTTGTTCAAATAGATCAGACCTGGTTGATAGGGTTTTCAGGAAACCTGTAGCTGCTGCAGATAAAGATTCTTGGGCTCAGTTCCCTTATTCCTCTTCCTTCTATAAATGCACTAATTCCTTTATCATGTACCAAAGGGAGGCTTGTACATCTTCTAGACTTGGTGTTCCTAAAATGCTAATGCTTCAGGAGGATATGAAAGGATCTTTGTGATCCTCAGAAGAAAAGCCTATAGACAGGCCTTTATCTGCAACGGTGTCACTCCCCGGGTGAGAGGCAAGGCTCAGAATCTGGCAAGCTTTGTGCTTGGAGAGCTCCCTGGATACCTGCTGAAAGCAGCCCAGGTAACTGATGCCCAGGCAAAGTGTAGAGGTTCCCATTAGAGGCCACCTTGGTATTTAGTTTCATTAAATAGAAGGAAACAAGTTGTAGGAAAGGAGGTTTCTGCTGCTTCAGATATCAGAGGGGATGTACGGGCGACTTTAAACTTCTAGCTTCAAACCAGGAGCACCTTTGGTCACTTATTCCAGGTGACTGAAAGAAAGGGGAATGATAAGCAGAAGCAAACAAAGGAAGAGTTGTAGTCAAGGCCAGACCAGCAGGAGCTAGCTCAAAGCACACGTGTATCTGCTCTCCTGCTCCTTAGCACTGCATCTTCATGACTGGTGGCACCAACGTAGCCATCCCACAGTCTGAGGGCTTCTTTGGGCAGCAGAGCCAGAGTTTGTCCCGAGGCATCTTTCCAGGTAAGGAGGCCCTCCAGGAGGTGGTAATCTATGGGTCTGACCCTTAAGAAAGCATCCCAGCCACCAGAGAATGGCTTTGGCCTAAGATCTTAAGCTAAGCTTAAGAGAATGCTAAGCACTGAGGATAATAACGCCTAGTAATTATATGTCGTTTACAAAGTACCCCACATATGATGTCACACTCAATCCTCACAGAATACTAGGAGGCAGGTGTTGTTATCCCCATTTTACAGATGAGGCAGACAGAAGGTAAGTGACTTGCCCAAGGTCACACAGCCAGTAAAACTCTAAGGCAGAATTCAAACTCGGGTCCTTCTGCCTCCAGATCCAGTACTGTACTACTGTACCACCTATAGCCCTTGGAAACTTTTTTCAAAGGTAACAAAACATAAAAACAAAACAAAACTAGCCCCTGCCTTCAAGGAGATCAGGTGATAATGATGTAAACAGATTGGCCCATGAAAGAAATATGGAGAATAGGAAAAAAAAATGTCCTCAAGGGAAAAGCAAGACTCACATGCCTAGAGGGACTTAGAAAGCCAGGTCTTGGAACATGGGAATGCCACAAGAGTCTGCATCCAGAAATAAGGTGTCCTTCCAGAAACACAGAATCTGTCCCTATAAGAGACTTCAGGGCCCAAGCAGTTCATTCAAGATGGTAACAAGAATCCCTTCAAAGACACCTCCAGTGAAGGGTCATTGGGTCTTGCCTTGAAGGGAGCATGGCCTCAAGGAGAGGAGGAAAAAAGGTCCAGCAGCCCCCTGGTACAGTCAGCTTACCAGTGGGCATGGCTAGTTTACTGAAGTTTGCTTTCTTCTTATCACAGAAAATTAAACTGTGAAGAGTCCTGCAAATCTCTGAGTTTACAAATTGAGTTAAATGCTTCTGATGAGAGCAAGTGTCTGAGTGTGTTTGCAGTGAGTAATAATGAGTTCTAAGGAAGAGGAGCCCCACGCATGGCCCAGGCAGAAGGCACCTTTCTGCAAACCTCCTAAACCTCAGAGTGATCTCTTAGCAATGGGAAGCCAGTGCTTAAGCTTGGAGCAAATGACAAAGACTGGCTTTTCTAATAAGAGCAAAAAGCCAGTGTAGAAAAAAAGTGAGAATTATGGCCAACGGCAAGATGCATGGTCTCATATTACACACTTAAAGGTAAAGGCAAAGAGATAGACTCAATCACTAGAATTAGTATCTCCTGGTAAGCACTTCACTGCAGTGGGTCCAGATTTCTAACTGTGATGAAGTCTTATTTGTGCTTTCCATAAAGATTGTATTGAGCTCTCTTGACACCATACACATTTTAAATCGAGAGCAAAGAAGAACACGGAGTCTGGACATTGCCATCATCATCTCTTTTTGCATATTTTGTGCTTTGACATCCCCAGTTCATCATGACTAGTATTCAGTAAGTTAATAAATTTCCTTACCCATCCCCCAGCATCAGCAGACTATGAGTGGAGGTCACCCCAACAGTATCTTATGTTTGGTAATCCTTCTAATTGATAGTTTACAATTATTTCACCATTAGATTTAGGTTAGTTTAATGACCAAACCAGCAGCAGTGACATCATTATCTCCTGCTTTTATAGCCGGGGGGATGATGGGCTGTTTCATGATTTCATGGAAATGAACTAAAGGAAGCAATTTACACTATTGCTCAGAAGCTTCCACTTGTTACATGATTGGGGGGAATTTCACATTTGGAATAGATAGACTTTGCCAAGACAACAAATGATCATGGTATTGGGTGTGACTCCTGAGAGCTTGTGTTTTCTCTCTCCAAACAGCCCAAAGAGAAATATTGAATTAAATAAGCAGCTTGCTTCACGGGCTTGGTGATTGAATAAGTCTCCAATTCTCTGGTCTAAATTCTCTCATTCTGCCTACACTTCTCCTTTACATGAATGTTTCATAGTTTTAGCTATATTTTCTTAAACCCCTAAGTTGACCTTTGTTTGAAGTAATCCATAAGTGATCTGAATTTGCATTGCCTGAAGGGATAGAAATTTTGCATAAAGTTTCTTTCTCCCTAAGCCCAAATTAAACATTTATATTATTTCATGTTGCTTATTATTAGACTCAATCTGCTGTAAATCTGTGGGTTCAGTGCCCTAGTCAGGATCATGGAATTAGAATTTGAAGGCATTGTGGAGGCCAATGGTCACACTGCATGCTGTCACATGATATATGGGGAAATTAAAGCCCAAAGAGAGGAATAAATTACTCAAGGTTACACAATCAGTTGGAGGCCAAGGTAAATGTGGAGCCCGGGTCCTCTGCCCCAAGTGCAACACTCTTTCCACTAATTAGTAAAAACAGATAAAATGCATTCCCTTCATGAGATAAAATCAACTAAGGAAATTAGACCTCTTAGAGGAAAGGTTACAGAAGATACTTCAAAGTATCTTTTCCAAACAGTGAAAGTTTCCTGAAAAAATGTATTGATACCTTTTAAATAAGGTGACCACTTTTTTTTTCCAAAAGGATACATGTTTTAAACACCAATGTAGGCTTTTTAAAAGACAAGTATAATTAAATCTTCAATTAGAAATATACTATAAATCTGGTGCCCCATGACCATTGGGGACACCAAATATTGGTCATCCAAAGGCTGGTACATCAGCAGCAGGGGACTCTTTAGGAGGGAGAAAATTTCTTCTATGGGATTCAGTTTCCACATCTGTAAAATAAGACAGATGAAGTAGACGGTGTTTAAAGTTTGTTACCATTGTAAATCATATGACCTTACAGTGTTTTGTCCTATGGAGATTGCTTTCTGCCTTGTGATTATAATTTTTTTTAATTAGTGTTAAAATTAAGTAATTTTAGAGAAAAAATATTCTCACAAGCTGGTTGAGAGAGTCCACAATTTTATAAACTTCAACTTATCCCTTCCTGTAGCAAGGCTATCCCTAAACACCTCCCTGATTAGTGCTCTCTCCAGAACAACTGTTCCAAACCTCTTCCTTTCACAAGTCTCACTCAATCCCCAGCTGAGGCCATTACTCTGTATTCAACACCCCTCAAAAAAAAATCAAGGCTATCTCCAGAAAACTTCCTCTTCTACCCCTACTTAATACACTCCAGTGACTCCTTATCACCCCCTAAATCCAATACAAAATCCTCTTTTGGCATTCAAAGCCTTTCATCACCTGCCCATCCTTACCTTTCCAGTTTTTTTTGTTTTTTACACCTAACACCACCATATCCTTACTTGCATGTACTCTTTGATGCCATGACACTGGCCTCCCTGTCGCACAAAACCCATCTTTACGTACTGGGTATTTTCTCTGGCTGTTCCCATGTATGGAATGCTCTCCTTCCTCATTTCCACTTCCTGGCTCCCCTAGCTTTCTTTAAGTCTCAGTTAAAATCCTACCTTCTATAGGAAGTCTTTCCCAATTGCTCTTAATTCTAATGCCTCCTCTTGATCATTTCCTATTCATCCTGCACGTAGCTTGTTTGTACATAGTTATTTTCCTCTTGTGTCCCCAATTAAAATGCAAAGTCCTCGAGAAGAGGGACCATTTTTTACTTGTCTTTGTATCCAGACCTTAGCACAGTTCCTGCCATATAGTGGTTGATTAATCAATGTTTTTTGACTAATTCCCCTCATCATTATCTGGCAAAATCCCCTTATCTCACAATCCCTCCTATATCACCCCCAACCTCATGCTCTACTCCAAAACCTGAGGAAGACATCGACTTTCTCACCAAGATCCAACACTCCCCAACATTCCAATTGCTGTCAAGTCCAACACCATTCTTGTAGCCACTCCTACTTGCAATGTATCATTCTTGAATTTTGAGTATCATTTTCTCCACATGTACAAACAGTTGTCACATCTTATCATTTCTATCTGCACAGAGTCATAGATAGATATAGATATATACATACACTATGGTATGTGTGTGTATACATTTGTGCATTATGTATAGATAGATATTTCCACCAACGTCCAAAGATATGTATGTCCACTTTTTATGTTTATGCATATTCCCTATGTATCTAGACTTACCTGAACTAATACAAAGTGAAGTTAACAGAACCAGAATGTTGTACACAACGTAGTAGAGATATAGTAATGATGATCAACTGAAAAACTTAGCTGTTCTGATCAATCAACTTCAAAGTACTCATGTTGAAAAATATTCTCTGCTTGCAGAGAGAGCGCTAATGAACAATGCAGCAGATTGAAGATTTTTTCACTTTCCTTAATTTTCTCTTTCTTTCTTCCTTCTTTCCTTCCTTCCTTCCTTCCTTCCTTCCTTCCTTCCTTCCTTCCTTCCTTCCTTCCTTCCTTTCTTTCTTTCTTTCTTTCTTTCTTTCATTTTTTTTGCAACAAAGCTAATATAGAAAAATATTTTGGATGACTTCATATGTATTATGGGTATCAATTTGCTTTCTGTCTCAATGAGTTGTGGAGAGGCTGAAGGGAGGAAAAGAATTTGGAACTCATTTTAATAAAACAAATGTTAAAAAATAAAAGTCTCCCATCCCCACTCTACTATTGATATGTTTCTTTTTTCCAAGATTAGAACATTTTTCTCTCCATCACTTGCTTGTATGTTGGCATTTGCATGTTTTCTCCCCCATTAAGGGATGTGTTAGAGCAGCTTCAATGGGTTCAAGAAAATCAATAATTTTTCAGTGTGAGCATTTACATCTCGGAAATCAGCAAATGCTGCAAATCAAGATTTGACTGTTTTCCTGATTGCCTAAAACTGAAAGAGAGAATGCAGACTAAATTTAGAAGTGCATCATGCTTCTACATATGTTTTCCAGAACTAAGTTTTTGACATTTACTACTAACTCCCTAATCCATTAAACTGTGAACTAGTTAAGGGCCAGGACTATCTCACAGGGGTCAGTGCATAATAAATGTTTGTTGACTGGACTTGGCTTATCCCCAGCACTTACCACAGTGTCAAATGCTTATAAATGTTTCCTTGCTGTCTCATGAGTAATGTTAAGGGAAATGGTCTCTTCTCGTTCAAAATCTCGTATTCTTAAAAAAAAAATTGTTTGCATGCTTTGATATGCTCCTCTAGAGGCATTACAGCAAAAGAATGAATTCTTGAGGTCTGCTTTGCTCAGGATTTACTTTGTTCTTGGCCTACTTCATTAGCTAGAGAATGTCTTTTCAGATGGAAACTTGGATCATTGCAAGCATCTGTTAGGGTACCTATTTGGGCACCATGGCCTTGACACTGCTACTAGTTGTCCCATGAAGACATTTTGCCAGATGAACTGCTACCTAATCCTATATCTCATGTATTGTACTTCAAGAGAGGATTTTTCAAACAAGTTCAAGACTTGGCACTTCTCTCTGGGATATTTCAGTTGCATCAACTCAGCCCAATGTTCCAGGTCGTCAAAGAACTTTCAAAGCTTGTGTCTTCCATTACTATAAGTTTTACAAATGTAGCCAACATACCTCTATGCCTTTATCCAAGTTATTGATTTTAATATTAAACAGCATACGGCTAAGGACAGATGCTAAGGACGCTCCCAGGCTTTTTTCATTCTCTTTTGGCCTAGCTTCACCTGTCAAAGTGCTTGTGTTTATTCGTAGTACAAGGATTTGTTGTATATTTATTTATGAAGGACACAAAGTTTTTAGTGAATGATTTGAGTCACTCAATCATTTCTAGGTATATAGTAGAGCCTACATTTTCACCACCTACTGAAATATAATGCACAGTTTACATCATTTCACATTACTTATCAACAATTATCTCCATGTTCCCTGAGCATGTCTTTTGCGTTATTTCTGGGGGCAATGACTTGGTCCTAGGTTTTTCTCGTAACCATCATCCTTTTCTATAAAGAATTGTGCACAGCTTAACCACTCATCTGTTGCTTCTGTCAGTGTGTCATTGATGAAATGCATGAGAATTTTTCCCATGGAGAACTTCTGATTCCATTCTCAGATTTCTGGTATTTCAGAAAATCATCTCGAAAAAACAAAAACCAAAAAATAATCCAAATCACCGCTGTATCTTTAACTTTTGGATTGTCAAAAGAGGCCTGTTTCTTACAAAAGTATTTCTGTAGATTTGTTGATTCTTTGCTCTGAAAAATGCTCTCAGCCTTTTACCTTCTTTTACATAAGGTCCACCTCCATTCATGTGCCCCATTTTGTTAATATGGTTTTCTTTTTGGTTTGGACATCATCTATACCCACAGTCACCCATTTTATGATGCCACAGATGTATACTGACAGGTATTCCAATGAGGCTAATTGTCCTAATCCTATTTTTCAAGTTAAATGCTGGCTTCAGGATGCCGATGAATCTATTGACATATGGACATATTGACTCAGTATACCCTTGGACAGCCCTATGTTCCAAGTGGATTGCCTGCAGAAGACCAAGCTATTTCTAAGTATTGTCATTATTGATTTTTTTTCAAATTCATCCAAGCTTAAAACCTGTAGTCTCTATTCTTTCCTAATGCACATTAACATTTTTTTTCACTTTTAAAGCTGAAAGGACATGTTTATATCATTGGAGAAACTTAACATGAGATGAAGCAGCTGTCTACTGTACTTTTCAAGGAAACCATATTATGACATCTTATCCATGCAGACCAAGTGATTAATATAATGTATGACTCCCTCTCTGACTTGAAAGCAATACTCAATTCTATTCAGAAGTAATGATAATGACTGAAACTGTATAAAGATAAAATCAGAGTCAAGAAACACTTTAAGCACCTAATACATGCCAGGAATTTTGCTAAGTGCTTGAATACAAAGAAAGCCACTAGACAATCCCCATCCTCAAAGAACTCAAAATCTGATAGAGGAAAACAAAGATGAAAATCCAGGGGAGAGGGTGGAATGGGGTGGGAGAGGAAGTTACCATACACAGAAGCTTGATGAAGTCCTGTAGCTGAGGAAAGAGATGATCTGAGGAGGTAAGAGTTCCAGAGCTGATTTCATCTTACAGAAGGGCAAATTTCTGGAGATCAGCTCAAGCCTGGGAAAGCAGCCACATGGGAAGTGAAGATAACGATCTGAAAACAAGCTTCCTGGGAGATGTCACATTTTCTGTCCATTGTTTGTGACATCATACTTTCCATGGAACATTATAAATAAAGAATGATTTTCCACTTGAACACCAAATACTCTGCTATTCTTCCTAGTCACAGATTTGTCTACTGCCTTAGGTCACATGCTTGTAGTGTATGACTAAGCCATGAGTGCAGGGCTGGGTCAAAGGCTTGGAAACAATCAAAAGAGGTAGTGTAAACATTAGGGTGCTTTGGGTGATTGGTTCAATAGTCACCAAATAGAGGATGTGGTATTGTCCTTTGTTCTTCCAGGATGTTTTCACACAGCCTTTCTGCTCCAAGTGAGCATAGGCCTTTTCTGCATTTGTTCATAGATTTTTTTTTAATGATCCAATCTGTGAATGTTTTATATAAAGTTTGTGTGTACAATTGGCTTGTATCTGGAGTGGTCACTGTTGGCTTCATATCTGGTGGTAAATATGTGATGGCAAAGCAATGCTGATGTTTTTTCTCCTATCCAGCAAATTGGCAGATATGACCCCAAACTGGAAAGAGTCAATATTGTAGAGATTGTGGCAAGAGAGGTACACACACTAGTACCTGGTGGATAGCACTGTGAATCAATAGAATCACTTTTGAAAGCAATTTAGAATTGTACAGGAAGGATTGTGAGAAGACACCTACACCCTAAGGCTTTGCAAAGGTGGAAGGCTCATAGGTTTGAAATGTCACTTATGTTTACAGACTTTGGGATATATTCATCAGGGTTCCTTATTTTTCCTTTTCCTTTTTTCTTTATAAATATTATTTATTATATGGAATAAAATTATGGCAGGGGATAGATAGCGAGAGAAAATATTATGATATAAAAACAAAATGTATCGATAAAAATGTATTTTATGAACATAAAAATATGTTTGATGGCTGCGATTAAGAAAGATGGGATCAGACACTCATCAGAGAAGGAGCTAGGAAACTGCTTTGCTAGTAATTTATGTGTCACTGGGAAAAGTTTAAGCCAATAGTTCCATATCTTAGCCTGACCCATCACTTTCCATTTTTGCAGACAGACTGAAGTTGCAGACACCACTCTTGACATAACTGTTCTATCATTCATTACATAAATGTTATAAGAATTATTTTTCATTTTTGATCCAACTTCTCCTGATATGTTTCACCATAACCTTCTCACATTCTCTTTCCTTTAAATGTGCTTTCTCTCCTTCTCTCCCTCCCCCATCCTGCTCTTCCCCACCCTCTCTCTCTCTCCCCCCACCCTGCTCTCTCTTTGTCTGAGTCTCTGTACCGTTATCTCTGTGTCTGCTTCTCTACTGTCTCTGTCTTTGTCTCTGTGTCTGTCTCTCTCATGATATTGACATTTTTATCTTGCTCTTTGTGTAGCCTTGGCTCTTATATACTTTTAATATTTGGCTTTCCTCTTTAATTTATTAATTAGGGGGATCAGGAATTTCTGATGCTTTCAATTTTCACTTTTTTATTTATTTATGTTTCGTTAGGCAATGGGTTTAAGTGACTTGCCCAGGGTCACACAGCCAGTGTGTGTCATATGTCTGAGGCCGGATTTGAAGTCAGGTCCTCCTGAATCCAGGGCCAGTGCTCTATCCACTGCGTCACCTAGCTGCCCAATGCTTTCAATTTCCTAGTTCCATAGTTCACGTTTCTTTATTGTTGCCTTCAATTTGGCAATACAGTTTGCTAGTTTTCTACTTGGTGGTTAGCTACTGAGGTAACTCTGGTCTTCAACAATTTTTCCAGCCCCATTGGCCATGGTGGCATTTGCTTCTTGCCTTTAGGGAGAGGCCTGGAGAGTTCTGCTTTTCCCCAGTGGCAGTGTGGTACTTCACGACAGCTGCTGTCATGTTCAGGTACTGAAATGGTCTTCCACTATGTCAAAAGCGGGGGAAGGAGGTAGCCCTTCATGATGGCTGGAGCAGGCACAAGCTTCTTAGAACATTACTTTGTCTTAGTCTATTTTGTCTGTTACTTGAATGTATTTTATCAAACTCAAGGGTATTATTAATATTCATATTATAGCTAATCAATCTATAAAAATTTATCAAGCATCTATCATACCTCTGAAAATTGGCTTGATATTGGGCTTATGAATACAAGAATGAAACTCCTGTCTTCCAGGGACAAAGGTTTCTACCAAGGGGGATAACATGTGCAGCAAATACCAAAAAGATACAAAAGAAATACAGAGAAATGGGGGCAAGGGATCAGGAAGAGCCTTATGTGGCAGATGGCATCAGACTGAACTTGGAAAGAAGTTTGAGGTGCTGAGGGGGATTCCAGGCATCAGGTGGCATGGGAAAAGGTGTGCAGGTGAGAGGGGTAATAAGAACCAAGAAGGAGACCCTTGTAATGTCTGCTGGTATTCTTGTTGTCTTTCTCAACATCATCATCATCTTCTTCTTCCTTGCTGGTGGGCGATTTACCCCTTCTCTATGGGCGTCTTTTTTTTTTTCATTTTTGACCAGCCATTAGTTATACAAAAGGTTGAAACTTCCTAAAGATTGAGTCACTGAGTTGCAATCTAGACAACTTTCTGATGGATTCTTGGTTGCAAGGCTACTGAGACTCATTGAGGAAGGCAGGTTAGTCTCCCATTAACAGTAGGATGGTTTTGTCCAGAAACACACATTCCTAGGAACAATATCTACTGAATGTAGTGAAGCCTTTTCAAAAAAAAAAAAAGACAATTTACAAGGTTAAAAAGCAACTCAGCACAGGTCAATGAAATGTCAATGAAAGCCCAAAGATATAGCCATCATCTGGGAGGGGGACAGAAACCAGGCTCTCTATTAAAGAATTGTTCATGCTCTTAATGGTGGCATGTGTTCTTGGGGCTCCAAACCCCACAAACATGATGATACAGCTGACTCCTATAGCATATGGAAGATCAATAAACCAATTACAATTTTGAAAAGCTCTGACACAGGAAAAGAAATGCTTGAGCTCATTCTTCATAGGAGAAAAAAATGCTATAGAAGTATGGGTCCGTAGGGAAAGCAAATATTCAGAGTCAGAAGACTGGGTTGTGGGTCCAGTTCTCCATCCATACGAAGAAGGAAAGAAAGAAACATTTATTAAGTGCCTCTGATGTGTCCAGCACTAAATGAAAGAAACATTTATTAAGTGCCTCTGATGTGTCCAGCACTAAATGAATTTACAAATGTTATCTCCTTTAATCTTTACAGCAACCCCAGGAGGTAGGTACTATTATTATCTCCATTTTACAATTGAGAAATTGGGGCAGGGGAAGGTTAAGTGACTTGCCCAGGGCCACTAAGCTAGTAAATGTGTGCGGCTGGATTTGAACTCATATCTTTCTAACTGCAAGCCCAGTTCTCTTTCACCTATGTCACCTAGCTATGAGACCTTTTTCTTATTCCATTCTGGCCTTTCCTTTCCTCCTCAGTAAAGTGAAGGGTAAAGGAGGTGTGGGAATATTGTCGATGATTCCTAGAGTCTTTGTTAACTCTTGCATTCTGTGATTCTATGGAGGAATGGAGGAGTTCCCAAAGAAAAGTGTATCCTTTTGTTAAATCATATGTGTGTGTGTATACACAATATAGAGATATATATGATTTTATATGTGTGTGTATGTGTGTGTAGTTCTATACATGGTGCAACTGAGTAGAATTCAAGAGAAAACTGATCCCAGTTACCCCAAGGGAGGTCAAAGTAAACCTCTCTTAAGCTATATAACATAAATAGTAAAGAAGGAAAAACCCCACTGTACTCTGTGACAGTCAGAAATTGGAATTACTTTTTCTTTATCATGTTGATGAAGTAGGACAAGTCTGGCAGAAGGAGCCCAGGAGAGCCAAGAATCTGGAGATTAAGCTTTCTGAGGGGCAGCTGAAAGTGCTAAGGTCATTAAGACAGAAGAAGAGGAGAATGGGGGGAGGGGTGGTGGGAGATGGCCATCTTATATGGTTGAAGGGGAAATGAACTGTCTCTTTGTGGCTTTAGAGTTCAGAATTAGAGCTAAGACATGAAAGTTACATAGAAATGAAAGGAGGTTTTTGTTTTGTTTTTAACAATCAAAGATGTCTTAAACTGGAGAGAACTACCTTGTGAGGTAGGGAACTCCTGGCTGTCCATCAGTGAGGGAGAGAGCACTACTTTGTTGAAAGGAAAGCTGAAGGAACAGTCCATGGGGTCCTTTCCAACAATAATAATAACATGAATCACTTGGAGAGAGTGCTTTAAGATTCCTATGCATTCTAGCATTTTTGTATCACTAACCTGCTATCAGAAGGCCATTAATCATATCTTGTGGGTTTGGTTTGGTTGTCTTTCCTCTCAGTAGTTCTTAAAGTACCACACTGAGTCATCCACAGAATCTTCACTGGTGACCTTGGGACCATGATTCCAGCCTTACCACTCTGCTCACCAGAGCAAGGAACACCATACCCCCATAACTTACAAATTTGAAAACTCCAATTGAACTAATGAACCATAAATGATAAGCACGTATTCACTGGTAAAAGAGCAGATTCAAATTCCCATTTCCCGACTGTAAAATATGCATCATTTTATAGAGCCATTATTGGAGCTTTCAAATGTATAAGCAATCATTTCCTATTGTACTGCATTGATGTCTGGAGCAAATAGTAGTATTACCAATCCGTCAGCTTATTGAGATGGAAGCTGTCAAAATATTATGGATGTCCTGGTGTTTTCTATAGCCTGAACAGGATAGGATCAGTCTTTTGCTATTCAGAAGTACACCATTCACCAAGGGCACCATCCACAAAATGTTTTTTATAGCTTTGGAAGAGAGCTCACATTTAGTGCCCTATTCCACAGTGAAAAATCACCTCATAATTGAGAGCAACCGTATGATTGCAGGAAGGCACCTTAATGCTAGGGGTGTCACTGCGTCCATTACTGACAATGGATGTTGTGTAATCCAAATAGACCCTTCTTTCTCAGGATTAAGATTAACGTCATCTGCCAGGAAGAAATTCTCCATTGACTTGCTTTCTTTAATGTCCTGTTTTCTTCCCAATGATGGAGAATCCAAAGTCTTTTAGTGACAATAAATGACCCTCTCATGATGTCAGCCCTCCTACTATGTGCCTCATTCC